ACTCCCCTCACTGTCCATTCTGCCCGGAAATAGTAGAAACCGTCCCCCATTTCCTGTTCGACTGCCGTCAATACGCAAGAGAATGCCACATTCTTTCGAACACTCTAGCCGCAAAGCAACCTCACTCACCTATCTACTAACCACTGACAACGCAGTCAGACCACTCATGTGATATGTCAACAGTACAGGAAGGTTCAAAACCACGTTTGGTGAGATCCCGGAAACATAATACTGTACACGACTTAAGCACGCTTCACATATCAACAGGAAAACAAACACATACAGTTAACACACCAAGCAAATAGATCTCCGAGACTAAAGGGAAAGACTAGCACCGGCCGCCCAGTCACTGTAGAAGAAGAGAGGTGAAAGGAGCACAACTCAGACAACCGGACTCCAGGATCAAAACCGCGACCAAGTCAAAGTCTTGTGCAACATCTGACCAACACCCTCCCCAAGCAACTCATTTAACTACATCATTCCCTCTGTACGAAATCGGTGTTGGCCTTTGCCCGACAATATACCGACAGAGTACGCGTATATCCACTCAACAAACATAGATTACCTCAATATGTACGATAGTGTAGCAGGAGTAAACCCCCCGTGTATAGGGTTATGTCCGACATAGGGTCTTCGACCCCAAAGGACAATAAACATGGATTTTTTTTAAAAAAAGAAAACAAAAAAAAGCCGAAGACAAGGAATGTATCTTAAAATGGAATTGTATGTGTCCATTCTGAACGTGCACAATGATTTGCAGTGCCAGTGTGTAAAGGTCAATGAATCCATGGTATTTTCGTGGAAGAATTGCATGGAACCCACAAATATGTCGACCCTTTCCGTGTTCGAGGTGGAGATATGATGCTATAGAGTTGGTGACATGATCATTCTGCCGTGGATTTTGCACCATGCAGGTGGGTTAACCTGAACACGAGCGAGCACCACGCTGACCCATAGTACTCCGTTCCTCCAGAGGATTATGTGTAGTCCGCACCTGCTCCTGGCAGTATTATGGATAACCATGGCTAACTGGAGACATGTGGTTATACTTCCTTGTCATGGACCCTTGAGGATATCCTTGATTATCCATTATCTATTACCTTGCTCCTGCTGCTCTGTACCCGTTGTCCCACTTATATAATAGTTGATATTCTTGATCTCGATTGTGATCTCCTATGAGATCTGAACAATATACACAGCCACATTTTTCGCATTTTTAAAACTCAGCTATTCTTCTCATGTCAGGCCTCCCCACATTATTCCCACACATCACATGTTCGCATTTTTCAGCCACACAGTGTGGGAATTACCCCACAACACCAAAAACATCGCCCATTTTGGGAATCTCCACAATATCAATTATTCCCACACCCTCCCCACCTCAGTGCAGCTTCACCACCACACCACAATAGGTCTCCCTTCATATATAAGTAGTAGTTTGGTATATATATGTATATTATAATATAATAGTCCGCTTTTTTTGTTTATTTCTGTGCCTGCTCCTCCTCCAGGGCCCTTTCAAAATAGCCTAGGGTACAGAACACTTACACACTTTTGCCCCTTTGATAGGGAAGTGTTCTATTGTATTCAGGACATATTTGGGAGTGTATATGAAGAGATTCCCCCACTTTTTTGACCCCCTGAAGCGCCCTACATCAATAGATATAGCTTATATACAGGAAAATACAAAATATGTTCCCATGTATGTATTTCTAGATAGATATACTTGGAAAAATTATCCCCAGCATCTATTAAACAGCAGGAACAATGTATAAGGAGCCCAGGACCATAGGATAATCCCCTGTTCCATAGTGCACCCTCCCTCTCCTGGTGGTTCACCCCCTGTGAAAATTTTTCCTGTAGGGTCGGACCTTCAGGGTGGTGGGGAGTCTATTCCTATGCATATTTAGAGTATATCTATCACCTAGCTACCATAGGAAACCTATAGGGTCGTTCAACAGGAACAAAATATGTAAAATCACATTTTCGACATTTTTGATGTTTTTCAATATCTCACCCTTGCACACATGGTCCAACCTGCTCATATATCATCAGTTGTATATATATATGTGCTTTGTATACCAAAGATCAGTTTAAAATGGGCCGGAGTTTTGAGCTAGTGTGTATACTTGCTATTTCTACTGATAAGGGGCCCATATCTTTGATTCATCGATGTTTATTAATCGGACACCTGGAGTACATTTCACATATATTCTGTATCATGGACTCAAAAAATACAGAAAGATCCACCCAGAATAGAGAGCTGGGGAAGTGAAATAGATAAGAAATCAAGTGTGGGAAAATTTAAATGTCCCGAAGTTCAAAACATCGAAAATGATCAGTTGGTGTATACTTTGCTATGGGCCACCAATTCAAACACTTCTACACCACATCCCCCCCATCAACACTCTGCCCTCAGGGCAGTATGTAGTATAGGTTCCTTAGGTAGTCTATCATATATCCTACACATTTTTAATGAAATCTTCGACCTGTATCATATATAAATGTGACTTTGTGTGAACAGATGTCAATTGTCATTTTTCACATATATGTTATTTTACTTGTAATTCACTCAATCCTTGATGGATCTTTCTAAAGTGTTAAAGCTATAATCAGGGATATGTATTAGAGGCATCCCAGGTGTCCGATTAATAAACATCGATGAATCAAAGATATGGGCCCCTTATCAGTAGAAATAGCAAGTATACACACTAGCTCAAAACTCCGGCCCATTTTAAACTGATCTTTGGTATACAAAGCACATATATATATACAACTGATGATATATGAGCAGGTTGGACCATGTGTGCAAGGGTGAGATATTGAAAAACATCAAAAATGTCGAAAATGTGATTTTACATATTTTGTTCCTGTTGAACGACCCTATAGGTTTCCTATGGTAGCTAGGTGATAGATATACTCTAAATATGCATAGGAATAGACTCCCCACCACTCTGAAGGTCCGACCCTACAGGAAAAATTTTCACAGGGGGTGAACCACCAGGAGAGGGAGGGTGCACTATGGAACAGGGGATTATCCTATGGTCCTGGGCTCCTTATACATTGTTCCTGCTGTTTAATAGATGCTGGGGATAATTTTTCCAAGTATATCTATCTAGAAATACATACATGGGAACATATTTTGTATTTTCCTGTATATAAGCTATATCTATTGATGTAGGGCGCTTCAGGGGGTCAAAAAAGTGGGGGAATCTCTTCATATACACTCCCAAATATGTCCTGAATACAATAGAACACTTCCCTATCAAAGGGGCAAAAGTGTGTAAGTGTTCTGTACCCTAGGCTATTTTGAAAGGGCCCTGGAGGAGGAGCAGGCACAGAAATAAACAAAAAAAGCGGACTATTATATTATAATATACATATATATACCAAACTACTACTTATATATGAAGGGAGACCTATTGTGGTGTGGTGGTGAAGCTGCACTGAGGTGGGGAGGGTGTGGGAATAATTGATATTGTGGAGATTCCCAAAATGGGCGATGTTTTTGGTGTTGTGGGGTAATTCCCACACTGTGTGGCTGAAAAATGCGAACATGTGATGTGTGGGAATAATGTGGGGAGCCTGACATAAGGACTCATGTTGGTTCTTTTGATGGAATGATCAGATCTAGATTGCAGAGAAGCAGGGAGAGGGGCAGGATAAATTCAAAGCAGACACAAGAGGGTGATGCAGCCCAGAAAGGGTAGGAACACACTAAATAGTATTGGCTGTCCCATTATCCATCATGGACAGCCCCCAGAATGAGTAGAATCATGCCAAATTGAGTGTCTGGCAAATTATCCATTGTGGGAGCTGTAATGGATAATCTATCAAAGCATCAGTAGTCCATGACAAGGAAGTATAACGAGTTGTCTCTAATTAGATTCGGTTATCTATAATAATGACAGTATAGCCTGTAGTCCGGGCTGACCTGCTGCTCCTCAGTGAAGTGCAGAGCTTAAACAAAATAATAATGGAAAGACATACCGGACGATCATGTTCAGCGTCGAGATTCATTTTGGTCTCACCGAGTTCAAATTGTAGAGAAAGTGAAATGACAATGTGTGTCATTTCTATGTATTTTATTACATGTGCTGAGTTGAATGTGATTAGGGAACGACCAAGTGATATGTGAAAATTTGCTAGGATCCGACCAGTGACATCTCTAGCTTTTTTTTAAAAATCCAATTTCTGTCTATTTGGGGTGAAATACCCGATGTAAGACATTACTAACTAGGAACGGGGGACACCTGTATCCCCCACTGCGTCTCTGACTTCGCAAATGCCCTGGTGGAGGGGTGACCTCCACCAGTCCGCCATTCCCGCCGGCTGTTTTGGATGTGCAGGTCTTCCAATTCGCGGGACTGTTGTTGTACAGTTCATGTTGAGGTGGTCCTGGGCGTGTGTTATTGGTGATACAAGTCCTCGAGTTGCTGTGCGACTGGGTACGATAGGAATGATGGAGTGCGGTGCTGGAAAAAGAAATAGAGAGAGGGCGGGAGGAGTGCCTCTGAGATCCTCGTCTTTCATCGAGATTGAAAACTCTTCCCTCGGCTTCTGATTCAACACCAATCTGGTCGACCATTCAAACCTCCACTTGGGTTCAGTTCCCATCGTCGTCGAGAATGAAGTGATGGGACAGTGGCCCGCGCTGTCCAATATGGTAGCTTGTCTTGCTTTATCTATCTGGGTGTAGACTGGTCATCGTTTATCTTTTTGAGAAGGAGGAGAAACATCACCGAAAGTGGCACGTAGTCTGCCCGTGCTGTTGATATAGCGGATAAGTGGGGCGCTTGCTTTTGGGTTCGACAGCAGGTAGGGTAGCGAGAAGGCACGGCGGCCGAGAGTTGTCATGAGGATGTGTCGAGCTCAAGCATAGTGGGGACAAGAGAGCAGGTAGTGGATCACAGATTCCTCTATACCTTCGCAGTGTGGACAGTCAGACGTGGGACTCTTCCCGATATGAAAACATCTCTAGCTTTGTCTGTAGTGGACCTATGTCTATCGTGTACAGTGAGAGCAGTCATCATGCGGACGAAGATGAACCAGACATCCCTGAGGATGACTATGCCCCGTCGCATTCTCCATCTGTTGCACAGTCTCGCTCTCAGTCCATCGCTGCCTCTCATGCTGATTCTCGCGAGTTGCTGATATCAGGTACCAGGACTCCTCATGGAGCCTCGTGTGTGGAAGCATCTAGGAGACTGAGCGAGAACGTGCTGTGTCTACCGCATCTAAGGTCTCCACATTTGTTGTGAGCACTGTTGAGCAAGACCGGAAGATTTCAACTGCTTCTAGAGTCTCTGCTTCAACTGTCTCCCAGCATCTCCATCTAGCTGCTCCCAAATCTACGACCTCTGTTGTTTCCCAATCTGCAACCTCCACCATTTCAAATTTACCCATGCAGTCACTTCCCAGCCTCCCCCTGCAGCTGCCTCCCAACCTACACCTCCAGTTACTGTCGAAACCCACAGACGGAAGGCTGAACCTGTTAAAGACAATGGGAAGGGGGGGAAAAGACCCCTAAGGCCACCGTACCTCCTTCCTGATTGACCCGACTGACACTACCGTGTGCAAGAGTCCATGCCAGCTAGCAAAAACCCTTACATCTGTCTGGGGCTCTGCCTCCAAGGTGAATACGTCTGGAGTCTCACTACTCGTTCAACCATCTAGATCTCTCAAGGCAACGACACCCAAGAATGAAGCTCCCCTCCGCTGTCTCGCAAAGCCATGCCAAAGACTGGACGTTAAGTTTTCAGAGTCACCCATGCCTGCACTTCGGGAAGCCCAGTACTCGTTGCTTCTCAATATCGCCCCTGAAATATTTCACGAGATAACGAGAGAGCTCTCAGTTGAGATTGCACAAGAGACAAGTGTGGAGGGCCCTCCATCGTCTACCATGCCGGCAGACACTGTTCCTCTCGAGTTCATCTCTACAGAAGCTCTCAGGGACCTTGTCATGATTGCAGAGGTTTCTGAGGTGTCTGCTGAGCAGTCCACGGAGATAACTCTTACCGTCACAGAGACGCAATCCAATGATCTGGGTATTGACATTTCTGTGCCCGCACTCGAGCTCAATTTCACATCGGGAGCACCAGCTGAATCAGCTGATGACACTGGTGATGGTGGTTGGGGCATTGATGATAGTTGGAATTCCACTCAAGTGAAGGAGGCGGTCAGTTCTACCCCCACCTGGGGTTCCTCTGGTGGAATTCGTACCCGCATTGCATTACCTACTTGTATGTACATAGATCACTAGCGCTGTACCTACATAGTAAGTATACAAATACAAATTCTCGCTAGCTTTCTCCCGAGTGCATTGCAGGATATCTGTATATTGCCGACATCGGAAACACACTCAGACGGCAGCCTAAGGGAATCTATGCATTGCAGAATAGCGCAGCAAAAATGACGCATCATGACGATGCCTCCGCCAGATACTTGTGCGACAATCATCCAATCTGAATGACAATCGGCATCCACAAGGGCATCGTCTGCCTCCGAGGTTGCAGATCCTCGTAGATACTACTGTAGTAGTACATTGTTAGACCTCCACGGACAAAGACCTCACTAACAATTGACACAGCTCACACCCTCTGCCTTCTCCAATCTCGCATTCAGTTGGGCGTGGAGGGTGCCATCGGCTGCGAGATAGGAAGTGTTACTGTGTAGTTCTGAGTGTTAGCATCAGTCTCTGCATCGAGGGGACATGTGAAAGAGGGGTTAAATGGCGAGATGGGAGAAACGCAACAGAGAAGGAGGGAAGGACAAAGCAGAGAATGAAATGGGAGGAACAAAGCAGAGTAGCGAACGGGACAGAACCAAAAGAACATAGAACACCAAATGAAATACTCACTCCCACCTCAGACCATCAATCAGCACCCCAATCAGCACATTCATGTAGTGTGTGCCTTCCTCAGATCACATGGCGGGATGGGGAAGTTGGCTAGATTTGGATGAGCTGGAGTATGATGTTGTAGGTGATTGATGGGAGGAGAGAGAAATATCAAAAACATATTGTCAGACTGCATAACATAACAAAAACAAAACTCACCTAGTAGTAGTAACCCGCCCAAGGTTCAGCACACTGAATACAGATCCATCAGATGTGCAGGATCGTGAGAGGAGGTTTTATAGGGCATGTAGGAGTGGTAGGAGTCGAGGCAAGGGCCTGATGTGAGGATGAAAATGAGGGACGGGCGCCTTCAGTGGGAGGTTGGGGCTGGGGAAGATAAGGAAAGCAAATCCAGTATTAAGGACAATGCAGAGGCACGTGAGGAAGGACAGAACACATCATGGACAAGTCTTTCATCTACAAAGGTGGGCGGGCAGTGCTCCATGAGGCTGAGTGCGACTTGCCAGGCTCCGCTTCCTGCAATACGAGCGGAGAAAGAACTGGATGAGAGTGAGAGTGAGGTGAAGAATATATGTGTCCTATCGGAAGTGGTGAGTGATGAAGAAGAATGAAAATGAGGCTCACCCGGGCAATAAATGTCATGCCGACCACCCCAGCCATGCGTATTCATTTTTGCCAGAGATGAATTGTAATAGACACGCTGAAGGCTGCTTCGCCATGAACTTCAATGTTATCTGTAGATGTCAAGCCTAGAACGAGGGGGTCTAGACCCTTTGCATCAGTAGAATACAAAGCAAAAACGGTGCACTCACTTGGTCTGAGAGTCTGAGTTAGAAACGGGAGCTCTCCCCTGCGTAGTTTCCCAAACAAGACCTAATCACCACTCGCAAGACAAGCAAGGCGGATGTCTGCAATGAACACATAGTTGAGTGAACCTGCGTAGCGGAGCATGCCAGGGAGGATGTTGGTGTGGTGAGCGTCTGTCCGTCAAAGGTAGGGTGTTGGAGGAGGGCCAAGAAAGATGAGGGAGATAGGGCATATACACCTGAGGCAATGGTGTGCGCAGCAGCAAAGCAGTCAGATGTGGTGATGGATGGGGAAGAAACGAGATTGTGGAGGAGAGAGGACACTTTGGCGGGTTTGGTGGGTGCAAGCATTAGGAAGTAAGGATAACCATGAACTTGTCATTGATGACGACAAGGAAGCTGAGCCATGTAGATGCTGGCCAAGTGTATGTGGGTCCTTTCATACGTTTTGAGCAAACATGTAAATCCAGAATGTAAGTACATAAATGCAGTAAAATAGTTGAAAGAAGAAAAAAAACTGTACATGCGCGAGGCTCTATAGGTCTCAGAGCAAGACGTCCATAATCCCTTTGCCCAAATTCACCTTGACCACATTCCACACCACAAAGCTCCGGTAAAATGTCCCAGCTCATTCCAAGCACTACACCCCTTCGAGTTTTTCAAAATCATACAGCCAACATATGGGCTGTAGCAGTTTTTCCCAATAGACAACGAATGGTCACAGCCTCCCACGACAAGACACTTCTTCTTTGGGATTTGAAGACAGGTATAGTGTTGAAGAAAATGGAGGGACATCGCGTCGGCGTAGACGGATTGGTGGTGTCACGAGATGGGCAGATGATAGCAAGTGGTGATGATGACGGGATGCTCATCGCCTGGCACAGGGAAACTGGGGAATCTCTCACCCAGGCCATCAAAGCTCACTCCAATATAATCTGGGCGTTGGACTTTTCTCCCGATGGTACTGTGCTTGCCACTGGTTCAGATGACGAAACAACCAAGCTATGGAGCACCAAAACATGGCAAATTCAAGGAAATCCAATCAAGTGCAGTGCCATGGTCTTGTGTGTTTGGTATTTGCCTTCTGGTGAACTTCTTGCCGTCGCAACATCCAGCAATATCGAAATTTATAATCCAGGCACGTCTCAACGCATCTCGACAGTCAAGGGTCACACAGGAGACAACTTGTCACTTGTGTGGACGCCTGATGGCACACGTCTTCTCTCAGCAGGCGATGACAACGATCCCAACATCCGCGAGTGGAATACATCCACCTGGAAGCAGGTCGGTGATCCCTGGACTGGTCACACTGATTGTATCTTGGCTATTGCCATTCATCCTGCGGGCACCCATCTCACTTCTGCATCTACAGACAAGCACGTCCGTCTCTGGCGGCTCTCAGATCGACAAACCATCGCCATCTTCAAGCACTCAAATGGACCGTCATGTGTCACTTTCTCCATGGATGGAAAACATATCCTCAGTGGAGGTCAAGATAAAGTAATTTCAGAGTGGGAAGCACCCAAGGACACTTGGTCAGAGGAAGCTCTGGCGTTAAAGGTACTTTCCTGTTGATCTCTCTACATTCACTATCTCATCTCGCTTTTTTTCCATTCCAAGACTCGGGACTCTGACTCACAGGCACGTTTACACCCTTAACTCATGATGTAATTCAAACATTCTCGTGCAGATCCTCGCCATCACTATGACTGTCCACAAAGCTTGCATCACGGGGGACTTGGCTGTGGCTGAAAAGATACTTATGCAAGAGATCAACACCGATGCCAACAACAACACTTCCTACGCCAACCGCTCGCTCATTATGGCACGCAAACTCGACTGGGACCGCGCGCTTCAAGATGCAATCAAGGTGGCAACGACCCGTCATCCCACGCTGATCATGGACTAACATTAATATTGATCGTGACAGTCTCTCAGCATTCGACCCTCATTGACAGGCTATCTTGCAAAAGGTGTCGCCCTTTGCAGGAAACAGCAGGTCTCGGATGCGACGACAGCATTCAACCTCGCATTCAACCTCGCATTCGCGTTCATGTTCACAGCAGACGGATATTCAAAGAAAACTCATTTCCTTTTCTTAATCAAGGTATGTAAATTTTCGATTCAGACGCCGTTCTTCATTTCGATTTCCAGGCCATCGCATTGTTCAATGAAAATCACCACAAAGAAGCAATGCAGCCCATCCAAGAGCCAGTCACCCGTCCTAATCCCAATCCTCTCGCTTCTCGTGTCGTGGAAGTAAGTATCATGCACACATGTTCGTGTCATCACTAATTTTTCTCTGCTTCACCTCAGGCCTATTTGTGAGTCCAGCTGGGAATTATTGCTACGGATGGTGCCCTTCACAAAGAAGCTGCTGATCATTTCACAGCAGCCATGAATACTGGCACTTTCTTTGCTACATTGGACATTCATTCTATGTATGAGGACTTTGTCATGGTACGTTAATCTACCTACCGCGACATTCTTTCTCTTATGCTCACATATATGCTTCTGCAGCTTTTTGGCTGGAACCTCAAGTCATTGTGGCAAATCGCAAACCAGCAATGCTACCATGCACTCTTTCGGGCAGGTCAATTTGGAGAAGCCCTCGAGGCATACTGATACATGATGGACATGAGCAATGAGACCACGAAGGCCATCTTCCTTGCTTGGGTCAAGAGTATGTCTCCAGTAATGTTACCCGTGCTACAATGCTTACACTTTCACTCAGCTCTCAATGAACAATGAAGCGCACCCTGTTCCACACACGAAGATACCGCCATCGTAGCGAGCGGTCCTTGTCTTGGTGCCATTCTCATTTTTACCTTGACTTGATACTGATCTTGCACTTTGTAATCATATCGTATGCTAGCTCATAATACAACATTAATAGGTCGAACACTACTGCAAAGCTCACTGTATCATCAGCCCCATTCACCGACTATCTCTCTTTGGATCCTTCGGCCACCCTGCTGTCTCAGCCATACAGTGACCTTCAAACTCTCAATTTCAGCGGTCAGCATCTCAATCGCATCCAACCCCATCAGGTCGCTGTGATATTTTTCTCCCATCTATGACCTGATAAACAGTCCCCGTGAACTGTTCAGCATCTCCTTCAAACAGTGTGCCGACACAGGTGGGGAGGCTTGTGAGCGTGAACAGGAGGTTCCATGTAGCACCCTGATTAGCAGGTGGCTGAAACCTCAAGGACATGGGGTGACTCATACGGATGGCCACGCTCTGTTAAGGATATAACTCTCAACCTTAGCCGTCAGCATCTCAAGCGCCGCACAAATCGAGTATTATACCTTGTCACCTATGAACCAAACCTTCTATAACTCAAGAGGCAATCAATGAATTCAAGACCTTGTACAAGTTACACATTGTGCGGCTGATCTGCCAATCAATCACCTCCGAAATTCGCTTCACGAAGGAGTATCAGTGATAGAAAGCGTTGACCAAGAGGATACATGAATCAACAAGGGTTACTGTGGTGCTGATCACGACGCTGAAAGTGATGTCATCTTCAACTGCTATTCTGAGGCAGATTTCGATTGAATGAATAAGGTTGACAAGTGTCGGAAAAGTTCCACACAGATATGATAAATTCAGGTCATCATAGGCGACGTGGTGCTATTAAATTGCAGTCCTGTCAGGTCAGACCGGCCTCATCAAATTACCTGAAACACGACCACCACTTCGAAGTCAGTGCTCAGCAAGGAGTCGACACTTAGCCTCAACCCTGCATCAACTACTTACACAAGCCTCGCCTCTAGCTGTGCTTGTAAACTGCCATCAGGCGTGATGTGCGTGAATGTGCTGTGAACTAACGTTGATATCTATTACCTCAGCTTCCCATCGCATATTGAGAGAGTAGGTGGAGCAAGGCAAGTCGAAACACTTAGTCAAGCCGGAATGAATTGGTTCTCCTGATAGTGCATACAATAGCATGTAAAGCCATAGAGGAAAAGATTATCGAGCTACATAAAATACGACACATACTGCTGATCGAAAAAAGCTCGCCTTCGTTGTCAATCGCAACAATAGCCTTGCCCGCACAAAAAACGGAGCACTGATACACGCCCACCCTTTCCCAGAGAAGCAGGCTTCAACATTGTGAGATGCTTCTTGGGTTTGAGGCGTGACCTTATCCAATGCAAGGGTTAACATATGCGATGTCAAAGAGGACGACAACATTGAGTGAAGGACAAACAAATCTGGACCAGCGTAGTGGGGTACACAGGAGGCAGAGGTGCTGTTTGCGGAGATTTCTGTGCATGTGCATGCACACCGGAGGATATTGCAGGGCGTGAGGAGGGAGAAGGTAAGTGCGCGTGCGCTTGGCCATCATAGTTGAAGTACCACATCCCCGTTTCGTCCTTTGTGCAGCACACTCCATTTTCAAAACCGTAGCCTCTCTCTCCTCCCATGAAACTTGCCCTGTGTATGTGCCCTTTTGGCGGGGCAAGCTCTTTCTTTCCTGATGAACGTGGACATAGAGAGGGCGCCCAGGAGAAGGAAGGGGAAGAAGTCAATCAGTGACAACTGCCGCATGCACGTTGATTGGGATACTGTGCTCGAGAAGGGAAAGTGAAATGTGTCATGGTTACTGAACTTGGAGTTAGGTTGTGGACGATCAGGTGAAGAGGGTTAGAGAAAATACACGGCCTGTGAGGCAAAGGATGTTAGTGCACTTGTCATGTTTTCTTGTTGATAAAGAAGATGACAAGAACTGGGGGAAGGATCAAAGCAGGAATGGGGAAGTGGTTAGAGCAGGAGAAGAGAATATTCACCAGATGCAACGAACACGCTTCCGAGCGTACATATACATTTTTGTTACATTGTGATATTAAGGGTTGCAGCAAAAGTGTTATTGGCGCCTTCTTGAACACACACGTCATCTAGAGCACGGACTGAACTTGTCAATGTAGACACTTCAGAATGTTGGTATGACACATTTGAAAAAGGGTTGTCCTTTGCCTCAAATCCCTATTACAGCCCAGTTTTTAAATTCACCCTGACTGGCTTGCTATTTGTGTTCCTTTCGTAGGACTGGTCGTGGTCAGCGTTTAGAAACTGACTCTGGTTAACTGCAATTCTGTGAGGTTCAATTCGACAAGTAGTCGCCATTACCCTGGACGTTCCTTGTTTTGGCTGTGTGGCGATTCGTACTTCTGTGATGGCAACCCCTTCGTTCTGTCATCCACACTAAGCATTGCGAGCTTCGCCATTTGGAGTCTCGTGTGCTCGTGGCGTGTCCCGGAGCCTGGGATATGTATGGTTTTGCAATGGCCTTGTAGAGATATATCAGAATTGTGTGTTTTGAATTACTTACTAGTCTCGTAGTCAGACCTTGAACAAAGGAAGTTGAACGTACTTACTACTTAGTACCCTTTTCCCGAGGTTGTTTGGCAAAAGCCTTGAATCCAAACAACCACAAACTCACATAAAAGATGCATCCCGTCTGCAGTAGGTTTCGAGGGACTTGCTTATTTTGTATTATGAACTAGCATATGATACAAGTACAAGGATCTCTGTATAGAGCTGAGGTACACATCAGAACAGCGGAAAGATCTCTGTTTCAAGGACCCCAGCATCAAGCTTCATGTATGGCGTAGAGTGCACTTCATTGTCCATTGAGAGCTGAGGGAAAGGGTGAGTATCGTAGCATGGGTAACATTACTAAAGACATACTTTTGACCCAAGCAAGGAAGATGGCCTTCATAGTCTCATCACTCATGTCCATCATGAGCCGGTACGCTTCCAGGGCTTCACCAATTTGACCTGCCTGAAAGAGTGCATGGTAGTGTTGCTGGTTTGCGATTTGCCATAATGGCTTGAGGTCCCAGCCAAAAAGCTGCACAAGCATGCAGTTGAGCATAAAAATTATGTTTGGTTGTGGCATATCAACTTACCACGACAAAGTCCTCGTACATGGAATGAATATCAAACTTGGAATAGAAAATGCCAGCGTTGACAGCTGCTGTAAAGTAGTCAGCGGCTTCTTTGTGAAGGGCACCGTCCATAGCGATAGTTCCCAACTGGACTCGTAAATATGCCTGATGTGTGAAGAAAAGTCAGTGAGGACATGAACCTGTGCTCATATGAGTGCACAATACTCACTTCCACGATATGAGAAACAAGTGGATTGGGATTGGGATGGGTAGTAAGCTCTTGGATAGGCAGCATTGCCTCTTTGTGGTGATTTGCATTGAACAATGCGATGGCCTGAAAATCGTAAGGACACATAGTGTACGAATTGAAAAATTTACAGACCTTGATTAAGAACAAGAGGTGGGTCGTTTTCGAATCTCCATCTGCGAACGTGAACGTGAACGTGAGGTCGAATGCTTTCATCGCGTCCCAGAGCTGCTGGTTCGCGCAGAGGGCGATACCTTTGGCAACACAGCCTGTCAACGAGTGATGTATGCTGAGGGACTATGTCACGATCCAAAGTTAGCACATTCCAAGGGGACATGATGAGTTATTGTCACCTTGGTTGCATCCTGAAGTGCACAGTCCCAGTCGAGTTTGCGTGCCATCATGAGCGAGCGATTGGCATAAGAGTTATGGTTGTTGGCATCAGTGTTAAGACTGTGCTCAGGGATAAAGCGGAGTCTGAGGGGCTTGGCTTCAGCTCGTACGCTGCACCCCTTACCCGAGTATGTGCCCCTAATTTCAGAGTGTAGTCTGACATGAGTTCTATGAGCTCCGACAGGACATCGGAGCGGAGGTCCTCTGAAGGAGGACCGACGGACTACTAGGTGAGCGCAGGAAAGTCGGGCGGGGGTTGTTCTGCCCGACAGGAGGGAAGCGGAAGACTACTGTGGTCGGGACCAACAGTAGAAGCGGAGCGGAAGGAACTGCTTTGGACAAAGTCCAAAGCAGAGCGGAATGGAGGGGATGGATGTGAGAGTGTGGGGTCTAGTTCCGACGCACGGGAAGTCAGAGGAGTGGAGGGACGGGGGAGCAGGGGAATGAGGGAATGGGGGAATGGGGGAACGGCAGAACGGAGGATCGGGGGAACGGAGGATTGGAGGAATAGAGGAATGGAGGATTGGAGGGTGGCTGACCTAGGGAGTCAATCCCCTAGGCCGGCTTAACAGGAGTTGACTAGGATCAGGCCCAAGTCAAAGAACAGAAGAGCAGGGCTTAGAAAAGGTAATATTCAGACTGTGTATCTACAGACAAATGTACATATGTTTATATACTCTAAGTGATGAGAATAGCATAGCAGAAGGCTATGTGCTGAGTGTATAGGATTACAATAGGATGACTGAGACAGATGATAATAAGGCTCGGGGAACAGGTTGTACGCGACGGATCAGAATCGCTAGGGTATAGGGATTACCAGTGATCCGAAAAGCGGAACTATGATACTAAATGGGGATAGGACCAGTTGAGTGGTTCCTAGTCTAGGAGTGGACCAGTGAGGCAGTCAGATGGACTAATAGTCGGGTGGGGGAATACGAGCGGAACTGAAGGATCTGCATGGGTCGGAAAAGCGGAGGGAGTAGGAATAGGATTGGGCGGACCGATAGGGCGGAGGAGTGGAACCCCAGATAGGGTCGGATGGAAGGGGTATGGGGTCGGAGGATATAGGGGTAGTGTCGGAAAAGCGGAACGGGGTCGGGCGGAGGTAGCAGGGCTAATCCTGCTGAGATGCACTTTGTGCATTGTTGGGGAAGGAGGAATGGAGTGGATGGGGAAACAGGGGGTCGGACCAGGGGTGGGGATGTTTACAGGTGGTATTGGAGGTGCTCGGATCCAGTATATGACAATCAGCATCAATCTCTTGTGTGAGTATCTCTTCCACCGCAGACAAGTCCCCCGCGATGCATGCATTGCGGATGGTTGTGGTGATAGTGAGGATCTGCATATAAATGCTCACATTACATTATATGAGTTAAGGGTGACAACATGCCTTTGAATTAGAGTCTCAGGTCTTGGGATGAAAAAGCTGTGAGATGAGATGGTGAAGTGACGGGAAATCAACAGGCAAGTACCTTTGGCATCATCATCTCAGGAGCTTCCTCTGGCAAAGCATCTTTGGGTACCTGCCACTCTGAGATCATCATATCCTTGCCTCTGCTCAGGATGTGCTTTCCGTCGATAGAGAAAGTGATGCAAATAAGCGGGGCTGAATGCTGGTAGATGGCAATGGCTTGTCCATCTGGGAGTCGCCAGAGACAGACTTGCTTGTCAGAAGATGCCAAAGCAATGAGTGTGCCCGCAGGATGAATGTCAATGGCCCAGATATAGCTAGTATGTCCTTTCCAAGGATCACCGACCTGCTTCCAAGTGGAAGCATCCCACTCCTGTATGCTGGGATCGTCGTCATCGCCTGCTGAGAGAAGATGTGTGCCATCAGGCGTCCACGCAAGTAACCAGTTCTATCCTGTGTGACCCTTGAATGTTGAAACGCGTTGACACATGCGTGAATTATAAATCTCGATATTGCTGGATGTTGCGATGGCAAGAAGTTCACCAGAAGGCAAATACCGAACACACAAGACCATGGCACTGCACTTGATTGGATTTCCTTGAATTTGCCATGTTTTGGTGCTCCATAGCTTGGTTGTCCAGACTGTTGAACCAGTGGCAAGCACAGTACCATTGGGAGAAAAGTCCAACACCTAGATCCGCTCGGAGTGGGCATTGATAGGTTGGGTGAGTGATTCCCCAGTTTCTCCATGCCAGACGATGATCTCTCTGTCATCATCACCGCTTGCTATCACCTTCCCATCCCTTGATACCACTAATGCCCACAACTCACTGTGATACCCTTCCATCTTCTTCAACACTGCACCTGTCTTCAAGTCCCATAGATGAAGTGTCTTGTCATACAAGCCCATGACCATCTGACATCTATCGGGGAAAACTGCTGCAGTGAGTATGCTGCCTATATGATCTTTAAAAACTCAAAGGGGGGCAGTGTTTGGACTAAGCTGCAACATTTTTCTGGAGCCAGATGGTATTGAAGACGGTTGAGGTGAACGTGAGTGGAGGGATTATGGGTGTCTTGCTCTAAACTGTAGAGGTGCGTTTACTGTGGGTTTCGTGCTGTTTCTCTGCATTATTATAACTTGCCTTGTGTTTCCATAGGCGCCCAGGTTGTAAGGGTTTGCTTCCATTAAGTCTGCAGCAAGAATACTCTCCGTCATCATGTTGATCTCCTCTGCCATCAGCACTATTTGCAATCTCTATTGAAACATCCATCAGGCGCCTACTATATAACTCCACCATGTTCTGCAACGCATTGAGCACATCACCAAAAGTCCCAAACCTAGATAAGGTATGCTCAGGTCTTATCATCCAGTATCAGCCTCACCACAGCCACCGTGGCCCATCAGCCCAGACCAGCCCCAGGTCATCCTAGAGTCTTGGTCAGATCATGAAACTGATTTTTTGCCCATTTGACCATCAGCTGATGCATCATGTGTCATAATGGACATATGAAAACTACTGAGCAGCCCTGAGCAATTTCTGGCACCTTATAATAGCTTATTGCAGTGGTATGGTATTATAAGCATGTATCATTCTTGTAGTACATGACATATGTTCTATACACTGATCTATGGTAATGTGAAAGTGATATAGGAAATTTGTGACGAGGAACTGCAAATGAGACAATGATGTGAGTGAATGCATGAAATTGGGAATTGTACAAGCATGACAGCAATGAACTGCAAATGGGGAGATGGCAATGAGAGTGAATATCTGAATGTGAGAGTGAATGTGCAAACTGCAGAAAATCATACAAGAGCAACCAGTGAGCAGAATTTTGGGATGGGAGACATGAGTAAGTGGATGATGCATCGGACAAGCTGGACTGTATTGTGCTATCAGATGAATATCCAGAAAAAGAGGGAGTACATACCAGAGGACACAAATTACTTTCTTCCTTCATCAGTAAATTCACACATTCCTTAGCACAGCTTATTTTGAAAATTAAAACTTATTTTTGACTTATCTATATTTATTCACTTGGCTTTTAGTTTGATAAGTCAAATAAAGAAGCACGTGGTATTCAAGTGGTGAAAAGCAGTGCAAGGCAAGATCAGATACCAAAGCCAAAACAAGCGCTGCAAGCAACATATCATTACCGATCTACCCCTAGTACTAACAATTCAAACTCTAAACTTGTCTAAACCAACATCTCGAACGCAATCTGGTATGTCCTTCAGCTCGTTGTTTGTTTGTTGATAGATGCTGGAACGACAGACAATCTATGGCGGCCTCCAAACCAAGATCAATGGACTCAAATGTGCATTGCGGGCGGGGGCAAAAGTGCTAGTGGACAGAGGCAGCGACTCGTGCACTGGCAATGGTGACTGGGATGGTTGAGGATGGTGGTGAGGGGGCAGTGGTAGTTGGGATGGTGGTAGGAGATCCTGAGGAGGTCCTGGAGCAGGTATATTTGAGTGGAGTGAATGCCTGTGTTGGGTGAGACCTGATTGGTTTTGAAACCAGTGCGCGCAGCCTGGAGCCGGTGTGGGTACAACAAGTGCAGCGGAGAGAAGTCAATCTACTACACAGTTGGGTCTTTGCTGCCTGCTGCCTCGCTTGGGAACAAGTGCGTTCGACCCTTAAGGGGATTGCTACTGGGGAATACTAGTCTCTGTCTAAAACGACCCTACAGGATGAAAGATCCACAAAAGCAGATGAAGCGGATAGGATGCGAAACATACAGATTCGTCAGATGGAGCGGATGGCACTTGCAGATCGGACGGGATGCGAATCAAAGTTGAAGGAAGTTCATTAAAGGTTAGATGGATAGTGAGTATAAGTCAAAGCGATCTTCTGGTAGGGTGCAGGAAAAGTGGGAGAAAGTTACATGCAGTAAGTATTTTTTGAAACCCTCCATGCTTATAGGGTACAGTATTTTCAAGGAACATAGATACATAGGTAGCGAGTCTAGACCGTGCCATAAGCTATCCGAAAAATACTGGAGTGTGAGAGGATATGTCTGTGTTCAGTCAGTAACAAGAAAATGCGTGTGAGTACGTACCAATGAGGTAGAATGGACATGGACAGGATGGATGCGGCGGATGCGCGAGCTATAGGGGGAGATCTGAAGGTATCCGCATGTCATCCGAAAAGCGGATGGGTATTGGATGGAATGGATAGGTGTTGGATGGACATCGGATGGATGCCTGATGCATCGGAAAAGTGGTGGATACGAGCCTAGCGTAGGGATACTCCCTACACCGGGCATGGAAGCTGAAGTAGGTGGTGAGCACGGCAGGGAGGTATATATGTGCTATAAGCCAAGTTGGTGTTGACAGTCGAAGAGGATTTCTGAAGGCAAACAACAAATTCGGACTGGCACCAATGTGACCAAATGTTAGGTACTGTGCCAGCTCAGGAAGCAGAGGGGTTGGGGCTTGGCTTCAGCTCTTGCGCTGCGCCCTTAGCCGAGTACGTGCCCCAAATTTGGAGCGGGTCCAACATTGTCCGACAATAGGATGAGTGGACCGCTTAGGTCCGCTTTGAGGGTCGGGAGGTAAGTGCTACTAGCAGTGGGCCAACTAGGAGTGGAGCGGAGAAGGCGGAGGATAATGCGGAAGGGGGAAAGGAGCAGGGGGAATACTTGATAGGGGTGGAGAAGTAAGGAGAAGACTTAGAGCACGGCTCTAAGTCGGAGCGGAGGGTCAGAGGTGACAACAAGGTGAAACTTGTGTCCAGAGGAGGCAGGGTCCTACTGAGAATCCTCACAAGTAGAAACTGCGAGAAGACAAGTAATATTAAGACTGAGGAAAATATCTAAGTATGAGGCAGTGGTCAGGATAACTATGTTGTAAAGCTATGTACCAAGGATATAATTTGTAAGTACTTACACAGGCGAAGACATAAGTCGGAGCAGATATCAATATGTACACGTTGGATCAGTGATAGAGCGGTAAGAGGAATTACCAGTGATCCGGAAGTAAGGGTCTATGTACCGAAGGGGGAAGTATATATCTAAAAGGGGAAAGCAGTTCCAGTTGAATGGAGATGTTATGGAAGGGGACCAGTTGGGCGGTTGAGCAGATGCATAGGGGCGGATGCGGATGATGATTGGACGGAGCAGAGGATGGATGGAGCAGAGGTGGTTGGAAAGCAGAGCGGATATTAATATCAGAGCAGTCGGATCAGGTATATGACAGTATGTCAGCTTGGTGAGGGTCAATGTAGATATTTATTCAGAGTCAGCTTAGACTACAATTTTTGAAGAATGGTGACAAAACATACCTTGTTGTGAGCTACCATCACCCTCAAATTTCTTTAGCCTCCCAAACCCTCCATTGATACCATGCCCGCCATATGAGTAGTCGTGGTGCCTTACTCACACCTATCGATACTCCCGATGCTGGGGCCAATGACATGTTGGATCTTTTTACAACCCTGTTTGCAGACGACGAATTAACCGATTCAGTTGAGCACTCTCAAGTACTCGCTTGTATGTCAAAATTAAAGGCTGCTCAGGTGAGTCCAACCATCTAGTTTATTTCCATGTGCTAACCGCATTTCCAGGGTGTCAAAATTTCTCGGAAGGTCTCAGAGAATTCTCTACTTCAAATGAAGTTAGCCCATTGCAATGCCAATCTGGCACCCAAGCAGCTCGACCCAATTGAGCCTGATGAGAGACCTTTCAGTCTGAGCTCATCATTCAGGTTCTTGTACAGCACGCAAGCACCACTTGGGGCGCTATTGACAGCCATCACACAACAACGCATGCAAAAGGCACTCTCAGTCTTTGCACTGCAGTGGCATGTATTTTCCCCCCCTCTCTTCACAGCACAGCTAATTATTTCCTGTGTTTCAGGTGGAACGTGCCATCTGCCTTATCGCTTCTGAGACCCTTGTCAGTGAATTAGAGGTGAACAGTAGAGGCAAGGCTGTCAAGGTCCCTCACACTCTTAACAAGTCCTCAGGCAAGATCAGCGGCTCTCAAAAGGCCTTCTTGGACACCAATTTTGGTGTAATGACCAGGTGTTACATGACATCTATTAACCGCCTGCAAGAATTGGTCCTCCAGGATGTCTGGGGACAGGCGAAGGAGATCGCCTTGAAGAGGCATGGTGCACCCTCCGCTGTAGACGAAAACTCTGAGGATGAGCACATGCTCATCTTCTAGTAGTAGCACTAGTTGGTACTGTCTTTCTCATTGCCCGCATGCATCTCACTAACTAGTGTCTTCAAGTTTACTAAGTACTACTAGCCTATGGACTGCTACTACTCTTCACCGCCACTTCATACTGCTACTACTCTTTGCCGCTTTGTTAATTTGCTGCTGCTATTGCTTCTGAAACTCCTTTTTAATGTCTTTTTTTTCCGAGTCCATACTTAATCTACTTGTTGCTTGAAAATGCAATGTTTTGCGGTCATGTTTCTCTCAAAAAGTGTGATTAAGTCACAAACAAGTAGAAAATAAGTGAAATAAGTGTTATTACTTGCTGCTACTTTTGCTAGCACTTGCACTACTTACAAAGGCAAAATCATCGAAAAAAGGCCAAAATAAGGGTGGAATAAGTCACAGTCAAGAGGAGGCATCTGTTTTTTCAACTTAAAATTGCTTGTGGCAAGTTGGTGTCACCGTTCTTGCACATGACTTGTCTGCTCCTTTTTGGGAAGTTAACTGGCAGCAAGTTACCAAAAAGGAAGTTCAAGAAATATGTGAATTTACTGATGTTTGTGTTTCTTAGTAGCAGTAGTAGTAGTCTTATTTTGGCTCTTCCTGCCTTGCTTTGGAACAACTGGGCTGTCAGGTGCAGACTTGACTTTGCTGAGTGAGCTGTCACTAGTGTTGCTGCAGCTTCAGCTTAACACTGGCTTTAACCGACCTGGTACTGTGGCTTGACTGCAGCCACCTACACTGACAGCTTACATAATTTAGGTTTAGTTTAATTAATATAACCGCAGTTAGTGGCTTCAAGCTGGTTCAAGCCAGCTTGGTAAATTTAGAATTACATAGTTAATAATAGTTATACTAATAATACTACTATGTCACTAAAAATGTAAACTAAGTATTGATCTTGTCAATCCATCATCCTAGACATTGTGATAAACACATTGAAAGATAATTGAAGTACTTGCCTGACAAGATGGCACCACAGCAAGTTGTACATCAATCGTTCTGGTGTCCGATCATGCATGTATGCTGACTTTGTGCATGATCAGTGTACTTATCATGCACAAAAGACAGTTGTGGCGAGGAAGAGGGTGAGGGTGAGGGTGAGGGTGAAGGAGGAGGAAAGGGAGAAGGAGAGGGAGGCAAATACAGCCGGCACCAGACCGAGGTGGTGCCAAAAGTTGGCAGATCTCTTCAAACTGTGGCAGATTGATCATGTAAGCATTCCTAGCCCAAACATGTGCACCCAGGTGTCTGAACATGACCCCCTCAGGCTGAAACAAGATGAGAAAGATGTATGAAATGATGAACTGGGGGGCTTACTCATGTGTCATTCCTGAAGTGATAGAATTGTCCGACTTAAGGTAGATAACCCCAGAAGTCTTCATCCCCATCATTCATTGTGGCAAAGGTATCCATTCCAGGAAGCACAGGCAGGACACTAAGTTGCAGGTCAAAGTCATACCACAGATCAATTTTGGCAGGCGTGCAGAACATGTTCTCGAGCTGTTTGACAAAGCTAAGCCTGTCAGACCCACCAGATTCATTCAGCTTCTGCAGCTCACCAGTAAAGTCAAAGGACTTCTTCATATCATCAGTAACAAACCTCAATGATATGTGCCAAACTGGCGAGCATCAGCAAGTATCCAAACACAGAGTGAACCTGTCATATCCCATACCTCTGGACCCAGAACTCCAGATTCTCCCCCATGAAAGTCCAGGTCTCCATCCTTTTCTCTGTCCTGTTGTCTGCCTGGTGCTCCGCCTTCATCTCTGTACTCACTCCTATCTTCTTTTAGAATAACTGCTCTCTGGCTACTGGTTGTATACCTTTCCACTTTGCTTACTTATCTGTCTGTCTGCACTTCATTTCCGACTTCATTTCTTTGATCTGTTATACACTTACTAATAGACTTCCCACATGCTTCAGGCATAGCTTTTACTTTGCTGACTGATTACTTACATGATATCTACAGTATATAAACTCCTGAAAAACTCCAGTACTTCCTTAGTTCAAATATCATCTTAGTTCTGCTCATTCCTACTTCTCTGGACTTGAGTCTGACCTCCTGTCCACCTCTGAGTCTTAGGGTTAATCCTTAAGACTATATCTCCAGCTCTACCTTAGGGTAGTCTAACTCTGTTCTGTTTCTACTCTGGACTTGTCCGAAGTAGTCTTACTCTATTTGCTCCTAGCCTTCCGGAGTTCTGCCAAACTCCCCCTGTGTCTGACCTCTGGACTTACCTGGACTTCCCCTCTTCCCCTCTGCCTCTTGGAAATTAAGGGCATGTACTCATGTAAGGGGCGCAGCGCACAAGCTGAAGCCAAGCCCTTTGAGTCACACCTCCCTTGAACACGACCTTAACAGAACCTGTAAACATGAACAACCATCAGCCAAATAGTGAAATGTAGAATGTAACGAGTTGTGATTCTGACCTTCATAGACAGCATCAAAGCTTGGGTATGGTCTGACATAGCCCATCCTGTTAATATCATGCTAAAATTATGCTAAACTCTTATCAGACCATTGACCAGTATGAGAGAGAGCAAAAAAAATGAACATCACACCAGGTAGCTGTTAGGTACTGTGCTTGGATGGAGAAGCGGAGGGGTCAGGGCTTGGCTTCAGCTCTTGCACTGCACCCTTAGCCAAGTACGTGCCCCAAATTTGGAGTGGGACCAATGATGTCCAACAATAGGATGGGCAGACTGCTTTGGTCTGCTTTGTGGGTTGGGAGGTAAATGCTACTAGTGGTGGTCCAACTAGAAGCGGAGTGGGTGAGCAAAGTCCTATGGAGAATTCCCACTAGTAGAGACTGCAGGAAGACAAGTAATATTAAGACTGAGGAAGGTAGCTAAGTATATGGTATGTTTTATATACTTCTAAGTAGGAGGCAGTGACCAGTAGTCCATGGTATGAGGCTATGTATTGAGTATACAATTTGTAAGTATTAACACAGGTGAAAACATAAGTTGGAGCGGATATCAATATGTATGTGTCAGATCAGTAATCAAGCGGTTATAGGAAGTACTGGTGATCCAGGAAGTAAGTTTTATGTGTCAAAGGGGAAAGTATACACCTAAAAGGGGGAAGAGGTTCCAGTTGAATGGAGACAATACAGAAGGTAACTGATGAGGTGGTCAAGCAGGAGCTGTCATATACCAGATGCAACCGCTCCATTAATATTGATATCCGCTCCACTCAATCCTACACCCCTCCCACTTTCCCATCACCTCTGCTCCACCCGCCCCCCGCTTGATCCAGTCGGCTCCCACATCAGCTCCTGTGCTCCTGCTTGACCGCCTCATCGGTTACCTTCCATATTGTCTCCACTCCACTGGAACCTCTTTCCCCATTTAGGTATATTGTCATATACCAGATCCAAGCACCTCCAATACCACCTGTGAACATCCCTACCACTAGTCCGACCCCCTGTTTCCCCGTCCGCTCCATCCCTCCTTCTCTGACAATGCATGAAGTGCATCTGTTAGGTACTGTGCCGACTCAGGAGGCAGAGGGGTTGGGGCTTGGCTTCAGCTCTTGCACTGTGCCCTTAGCCGAGTACGTGCCCCAAATTTGGAGTGGGTCCAACATTGTCCGACGGTAGGACAAATGGACCACTTTGGTCCGCTTTGAGGGTCAGGAAGTAAGAGCTCCTAGTGGTGGGCTGACTAGGAGCGGGGCAGAGAAGGTGGTGTGGGTACAACAAGTGCTGCAGCGAGAATTCTAACTACTACACAGTTGGGTCTTTGCTACCTGCTGCCTCCCTTGGGAACAAGTGCATTCGACCCTAAAGGGGATTGCTACTGGGGAGTGCTAATCTCTGTCTAAGCGACCCTATTCAACCCTACCACAGGTAGGATAAGGATCCGCAAAAATGTGGAACAAGTGGAACAAGCAGAACTCACACGGAACAAGCGGAACCTGAGCGGAACTCAAGTGGAATGGAAAGGAATGAAACAGAACTCAAACAGAACTCAAACAGATAAAGCGCGGAACATACTGATTCGTCGGAACTCGCAGGCGAAGTCGAAGGAAGTATATCACAAGGTTAGATTGATAGTGGGCATAAGTCAAAGCGGTCCTCTAGTAAGGTGAAGGGAAAGTGGGAAGGTAAAAGATGGGATTCAATAAAAAAAACCCCAAGCCCTGAGTACCACTACTTAAAGGGAAGATTATTTTCAAGGAACACTGAGGTACAGGTAGTAAGTTCTCAGGAAGCAGAAGTGAAGGCAGGCAGTGCACATGGGCGCAATACTCCGGAATAGGGGTCCGTTCCATAAGGGCATGTGTCAATGTGATCCGGATAACATTAGGAACAATGGGAAGAGAGATCCAGCATACCAATGGACCTGGAAGGATGGGGACAGGACATGTGAAGGTTGTCTGATGATGCACGGGAATATCGGATAGTGCGGGCGGGTTCCAAAGGATGCGTGGGAATGTGGAACCCATTGGACGATGTGTGGGAAATGCGGAACATGCGGAATATGCGGAACTGATGTGAGATGATGTGGAAAGGACGGGGTTTTACACCTACAGTGGGGAATTCCCCACAGTGGGGAGTGATGCGGAGAGTGGATAGGAGCAGGGGAATGTTGGTAGGGGCGGGGAAGGTGGAGGATAATGCAGAGGGGCGAAGGAGGATGTTTGATAGGGGCAGAGTAATAAGGGGAGGACTTAGAGCACGGCTCTAAGTCGGAGCGGAGGGTCGGAGGGTCGGAGGTGACAACAAGTTGATACTTGTGTCCAGAGGAGGCAGGGTCCTACTGAGAATTCTCACAAGAGGTAACTGTGAGAAGACAAGTAATATTAAGACTGAGAAAAAATATCTAAGTACAGGATATGTTATATACTTCTATGTATGAGGCAGTGATCAGGATAACTAAGTAGTAAAGCTATGTACCAAGGATATAGTTTGTAAGTACTTTACATAGGCAAAGACATAAGTCGGAGCGGATATCAATATGTATGCATCAGGTCAGCGATCAGGCGGTAATAGGAATTACCGGTGATCCGGAAGTAAGGGTCTATGTACCAAAGGGGAAAGTGTATATCTAAAAGGGGAAAGAGATCCAGTTGAATGGAGAGGTTTATGGAAGGGGACCAGTTGAGTGGTTGAGTGGAAGCATAGGGGCAGAGTATGGACTTGTGGTTGGACGGAGCGGAGGATGGATGGAGTGGAGGGGGTCGGAAAGTGGAGCAGATATCAATATCGGAGCTGTTGGATCAGGTATATGACAGCATCTCAGCAGGACTAGCCCTGCTACCTCCACCCAACTCTATTCCACTCCTCTGACACTACCCCTATTTCTCCGACACTATTTCCCATACCTCCAGATCTGGAAGTCCGGATTCTCCCCTATGAAAGTCCGGTTTCCCACCTGGTGCTCCACTTTCATCTCTGGACTCACACCTATCTTCTTTTAGAATAACTGCTCTCTGGCTACCAGATGTACACCTTTCCGCTTTGCTTACTGATCTGTCTGTTTGCACTTCATTTCTGACCTCATTTCCTTGATCCATTGTACACTTACTAATAGACCCTCCATATGCTTTGGACATAGCTTTTACTGTGCTGACTGATTACTTACATGATACCTACAGTATATAAACTCCTGTAAAACTCCGGAACTCCTCAGTTCAAATATCATCTTAGTTCTGCTCATTCCCGCTTCTCTGGACTTGAGTCTGATCTCTTGTCTACCTCCGAGTCTTAGGGTTAAACCTTAGGACTAACTCTCCAGCTCTACCTTAGGGTAGTCTAACTCTGTTCTGCTTCTACTCCAGACTTGTCCGCAGTAGCCCTTACTCTGTTCGTTCTTAGTCTTCCGGAGTTCCGCCAAACTCCCCCAACATCTGACCTCCGGACTTCCCCGGACTTCTATCAAACTTCCCCTCTGCCTCTTGGAAATTAAAGGGCACATACTCGGGTAAGGGGCACAGCGCACGAGCTGAAGCCAAAGCCCTTTGAGTAACCTTTCCCTTGAGCACGACCTTAACATATATACTTTCTCCTTTGACACATAAAACTTACTTCCTGGATCACCAGTACTTCTATAACCGCTTGATATCTGCTCCAACTTATGTTTTCACCTGTGTTAACACTTACAAATTGTATACTCAGTACATAGCCTCATACCATGGACTACTGGTCACTGCCTCCTACTTAGAAGTATATAAAACATACCATGTACTTAGCTACTTTCCTCAGTCTTAATATTACTTGTCTTCCCGCTGTCTCTACTAGTGGGAATACTCTGTAGGACTCTGCTCTCTCCGGACACAAGTTTACCTTGTTGTCACCTCTGATCCTCCACTCCGACTTAGAGCAGTGCTCTAAAGTATTCACTCTTACTTCTCTGACCTAACCAACCAATCCTCCTACTCCCCTCCGCCCCAATGCACTTTCCCCGCTTCACCCACTCCACTTCTAGTTGGACTGCTGCTAGTAGCTCTTACCTCCTGACCCGCAAAGCGGACCAAAGTGGTCTACCTGTCCTATCATCAGACATTGTTGGTCCTGCTCCAAATTTGGGGCATGTACTTGGCTAAGGGTGCAGTGCAAGAGCTGAAGCCAAGCCCTGACCCCTCCACTTCTCTGTCTGAGCACAGTTCCTAACAGGAGCACAGGAGTGGATGTGAGGGCTGACTGGATCAAGCAGAGGTTGGACGGAGTGGAGGTGATGGGAAAGCGGGAGGGGTGTAGGGTCGAGTGGAGTGGATATCAATATTGTCAGAGTGATCAGATCAGGTATATGACAGACAT